AGTTCCATCCAAAAAGTCGGTTCTTGTTTGGCATCCTGTCTGGAGAAAGACCAGGACCAGTGAGCCCCCACCCCGTGCCGCAATGCCCCGGCCGCACTGCCCAGCAACCCACCACGGTGCGGGTCATGGCCCTGGCACGGGGGCCCAGAGGCTGTGAGATGTTACAGCGTCGATTTGCTTAGCTTGGTGGCTCCCAGCCATCCGGTTCCTTCGCCTTTTAGCCTTTTAGCGTAGTTTCCATTTAACCCACCAAAAGTTAAACCTTTGGCGGGGGACCTGAGGGCATCCCAGTTTAGAATATGATGTATGGTTCCTTTTCGGAGTTAAAGGGAATCTATCCCCACTGGACATCTGTTCGTGTGTTTTTCCAGGGGGCTTAAGCAATTGGAAGACAAAGTTGCCGCTTTTTCTTGCTGGTGCTCGGTAGGGAATAATGGCTTGTGGGAAAGAACTTTTTGGGGATTCCCTTAAAGGAAACCATAGGAGAAAGTTTTATAGGGGTTATTCCCTCATTTCCTGCTGAGGACCAGCTTCCTTCTGTTGGGTTTATCCGCCTTTTTGAGGATTGGATGGCTTTACAAGGAGCTTAAAAGGAAAGCAACGACCTGGAATGGTCCCTGATTTTGAGGCATGCACATGTTTCCTGTAAGCATCACTGCACAACATACCGAGCACGCCGATTCGTTGTGAGTTGTTTCCATGGGCATTCCTTATGCCCAGTTTGTGAATGATTATACCTGATGCACTGATTCACTTCTTGGACGACTTGGCTAGGTGAGTTCTCGCTTAGGTGATGCAAACATCGGAAGTCCTAAACAAGCAAAAGAAACAAACAAAACAAATCAAGCCACGCGCATGCAAGCAAACAAGAAGCAAACAAGCAAGCAAACACCACAAGCAAAGCGACCCATGATTGCTGGCACCCGGACCCGAGCCCAGACGGCACTAGATGCGGGCGCGAGCTCTGGAAGGCAGACGCAACTCCATGCCCTGTAGGCCACTGGGTCAAGTGGAACTTTAACATGCAGATGCGGCAAAAACAGATCAAACGCGTGGGGAGAGGTGCTGGGTTGTAATTAACGTTGGTGACGCACACGTTATTCAGAAAGGAATATGGATTCATCCACAAGGAATGTTTTTGTCGGGGTTATTGAACCAGCAGGTTTTGTTTCTCGACTGAGCCGTCACAACCAAACAGCGCCCCAAATCGTATCTCCCATTTCCAACGGTTACATGTCCACCATTGAAGTCAACTTCTTTGGTTTCGGAATTTCTCTCGAGCACCGCGTGCTACATCAGCCCATAATTGTCACTTTCCCCTAAAACACTTCAAAAACGGGAATGGATATGTTTCGATTTGTCCAGACCGTTTTGGGCGCCCACTTACACCCCCCCCCCAAACAACAAAAAACAAACACAAGCCAAGGAGGTATCCCCAACAGCCCCGAACAGCACTAAAAAGGCCTATCGACCAAATCCATAGCCCTCAGCCGATACAGGAAAGAGGATGGATGGTTGTTCTCCCAAATAAACCAACATAGCCAGGCTTTATCTGGAAATAGGCCAGAACAGGGTGATTCCAGGGTGCCACAAGAAAGCCCAAAAAGGGAACGAGGGCTTTCCCTGGAGCTGCTCGAGGTGCACATTTGCGAGTACCTCGAGCTGCTCAAGAAGCTGCGGGCCTCCAAGCTCGCACGCGCTAGCAGAAACCAAGCCTCACGTCCTGAGTTTATGGACTTTGGAAAAACCAAACTTGAGTGGACTGAGCGGACTTGATTGGATTCACCGACCCCTCATTTTTTGGGGGGGGTATACAAACAGACACAGACACAGAACAGACACACAGACACACAAATGCACAAACGCACAAACGCACAAACACGCAAACGCACAAACATACACACACCCACACCACACACACACACACACCACACACACCACAGACACACACACACACCATACACATACACATACACATACACATGAGACGTCACATACACATACACATTCATTGACACACACACAACACAACACAACACAACACAACACAGCACAGCACAGCACAACACAACACAACACAACACAATACACACACACACACACGTTTTTTTCTTTCTTGCGGAATTCCTTTGACTTGATGTTGGCTTCTTTTTGGTTTGCCTCTAAAACTCCCGCTTCAACAGGGTGCCAGGCAAACACACCAAAGAAGACACCCACATGAAGCAAACTAAACGACATGTTGGGTATAAGTCCCCAAATAGGGGGTCTTGTTTGAATCGCTTTGGATGTTTCAAGAGAACCAAGGGACACCCACCATGTTCGGAGGTATCGGTGCGGTTGGCAAAATGCATGTCTAGCCTGAGTCAGTTTCTCCAGCACGATATCGAGCTGATCCCTGAGCTGATCATGCTAGATGCTGAGAGCCTTGGTATCTAACACTCATTGGTGGTGCTTGCTTTCCCGCAGGTTGCTTCGCTTTGCTTCAGTCCTGCTCTTGCTTTGTTTCTTTTGCATGTGCACTGGCCACATAATAATGATTCTTAATGCCAGGACCCTTTCGTGGATGTCACGTAGGTGGGGATTCATGTCCACCAGCCGCTTGTGAGGTGGTTCCCTATTAAGATGATAGCCATGTATCCTGCTACCAAAGTCATACAGCAAGATGGCAGACTCAGGTGGGATGACAAGGGGGACCTGGAAGCCTGTTTGGCGCCTGGCAGCCAAGATCGGTTCGCGTGCGGGAGCGGATTGAAATGGATTCGGTACTGAAAGCAACGAGCTCCTCCACAATCGAACATGGACTATAGTCGTGTTTTTTTGGGTTGGACCATTTTAGTGGCATACAAAAGGTTTGGGTACTTTTTCGGGGCCATCCAGTCGGAAGTGAGGATATGAGTGGAGCAGCTGGCTGCAGAGCCGCGAATTGCCCAAAGGCTTTTCGCCTTTCACGCGCTATCGCTTGCTTTGACCTGTGATTGAATGGGGGACCGATATGGATTGCGCCTCAGTAGATATCAGACCAAACAGCGCGTGTTTCGTGGAAACGCCCCATGCCCAGATCGACCGTGTGATTTGAAGGGCAAAGGAGATAAGCACCAAAAGTCAGAAAGACTGCGACATCGGGATGGCTTCTATACAAAGACATGATCAACAGTCGGTATTTTACTGTCATGCACTGTAGCCAAGGCAATGCAAATATCGTGTCAAAACTAGGCGCCCGTCTTAAAGGTTGTTCATTTTGGTCCCTCAAAAAGCGCCTTCTATGTGTTTGTTTCGACACTGGGCCAAGTTTGACTGACACACAACAGGACATGCTCCATGACCGCCATGTTGGAAACAGCGGGCTTGTCCATTCAGCCTACAAAAGGTCTAATGATCTTTACAGCCTCAGGCTGGTGGGGAAAAGCAAGCCAAGGTCGTTTTTGATTCGTGCCCAGTACCGGATGAAGCGTACACCCAGGAGATCCCAAGGGAAAGGGCACGTGTAGGAGGCAACCAAATGGTAAAGAGGCTTTGAGATTGGTGGAGCCCAAGCCAGGTGATTTTGCATCGCTTGGGATTTGTGTCGTCAAGTGTTGGAGCCTCTTTGGTGCCGATTGAAAAGGACTGCGGCATGAAAAGGCCGCATTTGTCACAATTGAAAGGCCTGAACAAGGCAAAACTGAGCAGTGACGGGGCAGGACGTTTGAAGGGGGCTAGACTTAGCGAGCGGTCCCGGTTGGGGGACAAGCCCATACAAGCTCTATCCAAATTAGGCAGAATCAGGGATTTGATTTGAGTTTTCCTTCGGCATCCACACATTTCAGAAGTCATTGAACATGAACCAAGACATCACATGTCATAAGTCTTTGAACATCAACGAAAAAGGCGCTCTTCCGTTGCCAACTTGTTTGGGGATTGGCGGCCGGGATGCCGCGATCGGGTCGCCAGGAAGCAGGTGAGCTTGGAGCGGGGCGTGGAGGTGGTTTGCCGTATGGACTTGGACATGGCCTGCAGCCTTGCCGCTCGGATGCGAATGCCGAGCGGATGGGAAACCCGTGTGGGCAAACAAAAACATTGGCAGAGGGTTACCCGGGTGGTCCCCAATCCGTTTCTTGAGTGTTTAGGTTTTTAGTTGGTTTAGTGAAGTTAGACTTTTAGCAGGGGAGCTGAGGACAGCCCAGTTACAAAATTGGATTCAACAGCTGGACCTTGACAACCATCTTAGTTCTCAGCAGGCAATGAGGGCGTAACCTCTATAAACGATCCCTTGTGGTTTCCTTTTGAGGGATCTCTAGGTTTATTCCAACCCCCCTTGCTGATTCGCTAGTGAACAGCAGCAACCGCGGGGAGGTTGTTGAAACAAGGGATGGTTCAATATATTTAAGAGGTTTGGCCCAACCGGCTTCTCCCTTCTGTTGTTCAATCCGATCGGACGCTTTCTTTTGCATGCGAAAGGTCGGTCCCAATCCTTTCATTCCAGGAAGTAATGGCCCATGTGCTATTTTTGACACATCTTGGCCGGGCCTTGGATGTCCAAATGGGATGCCTTGGGTGCCAAGACAGCTTGTTGTCGCCTTTTGTGCCCCCACTATTGACTGACTGTGACGGTTGATGCATGGGTTGTTCAAAATCCGTCCGTATCCCCGGTTGTCGTGATGTCCCACTACTGTATGGATTCGGAGTAGGATTAGGCAGGGGGCCTTCCGATTTTCGCCTTGAATGGGGAAGGAATCAGTGGTAGTTGGTGCTAGAAAGGGTACTTAGCTGCAACCCAAGTAGAAAACACGCTTGGTGTCGCGAACTTTGCACATGCCAGGATGACATTTGTTCTCACGAAATCTGCCCAAGAGAAGGCCCAGCTCCTCAAGTTGGGGACGCGTTCACTCTTGTGGGGTGTTCAAAGCATCACTGCATTCACAAGAAGATCATAAGATCCGGACACGCCCAGCGCCTTCTTCCCGAATCTCGAAAATAGCAATAGGTGCGGCAGGAACAACGTGGTGCAAGGCAGTGAACATGTGGCGTGAAAGTCGGGCAAGCCCTTTACTTCACTGATGTGGACAAGGGGCAAAGGCCACTCCAAACAACTCAGAGAATTGTTCCGGATCTAGTGGTTGGGAGAGCGTTCAGATGACTGTGTGTGGTGTTCTTATAGGAGTTTAGGGTTTGCTGGTCTGTTGGCAGTTGGCACCTTCCCAATCAACACAATGCCCCACGCGGCACTTGGACGGGGCGCAACATTTTCTCAATCAAGTCATTAAACACACCCTGATTTGCGAGGGGACGGTTTTCTTGCATTCTTTAGGCTGTCAAGCGGAGTCGAAATGTTACGCCTGGCTAGTCACAATAAGTTAGTTTAAGATTTGACCAAGCCTCGTACCTATTGCTTTGTGTTGACAGTCTTGTATAGAGCAAATCAAAACACGCAGTTGGCAAAGAAGGAAAGCGTCTATTCTCAGTGATAGTGTCGATGGACGAAATCCTGCACCACCTGATAACCCTGTTGTGATGATCTCTCATTAAATATCAACAAACACTGGTTTCTCCCATTGTTTCATTCGTGGTGCGACCGAATTTCGTCCATCCACAGTGGTGTGATACGTCACGAATTGCGACCTTCGGAGGCGTGCTCAAAGCTGCGGCAGGGTCTTGTCGGGATCATTGGAAAGGCTGATCCGCTGCCAGCATTTATTACGTGAATACTGAGATTGCGCACCTTCAACGCTGTTGGCATACATAGAATCTTTCAAGGAAGTTTAGAAGGAACGTCGTGTTACGGACACTAACTGAAGGTAGTTCTGATCACAAACAAGGTGAAATAATGAATGCACACGAGAAAACATGCGTGGGCATGGTGGGGGAGGTCGCGAGTCGCGGCGCCTGTCTGAAAGGCGCAGCGGCGCAACACTTCGGCAAACTGACCCTTCCAACGTCGCACGAACAAGTGACCGACCTTCATTTAACCGTTGCCCTCATTTTGTCGTTTGTGCGCGGATTGAAGTTTCCTCAGTGTTCTTCGAAACAAATAATTATCCACGCTGCTGCGTACGCAAGCTTTCTTCAGAACGGCAGAGCCGAAGCTGTTCAACTCCAGAATGCATTCATTCCTAGTAGGGAGCATGTAACGCAGACCCATATTCCTCACTTCTGTGCTCTTGGGTCGCCAACGATTTGCTGCGCCTGGAATATTACGCCTTAGAATTAGCGCTCATGGCAAAGTGCCTAGCTGCGTAGGGAAAGCCTTTTCGAGCTCTTGTCGCTGTCTGGAAAGGGTTGCAGGAGGCACCCTGATTCCGACCCGGACGCCCGAGGCCGATCAGACTTTGAACAAGGACCTGGCGCACATTCGCAAAGCGAAGATCGCCCATGCGCTCAGCGAGGGTTTGATGTGGTGGAACTAAATGCCCAACTGTGGAGCCTTTTGACTCTTTGGAGGGGGCGTTTGTTCAAAGTCAAAGGCGAACACATGCCGTTTTCTCCCATAGACAATCATCCCTATTGTGTGGAGTTGGAGTCTTCATGACCTTGAAAGATAGGGTCGTCTACCCCAACAAAAGGTGTGATGACAGAATGTGAAGGGGTCCTGGAGACTACAGGTACAGGCGCCCATGGTCCAGTCAGGGTGGGGAATGATTTAGTTGCCACGGCATGGCATGACATGTTGATTGAACCTCGGTGGGGGTTTAGTTGAAGATGGTGTTGAGAAGTACATTCTGTATCCTGGCTAATAGATGTTCTTCAGCCCAAGTGAGGCTTACATGACCATGTTCTGCAACACGAGCCTGCCATGTGCTCGCACCGCTTCTTTCAGGCTCAAAGGAGACCTGACCCGTTTCACCACTTATTACCCGTGGCACAGCGGGGAAAGCCGCCTAATGCCGCCTGTTTGGTGAAGCCTGGCTGAGCTCAAATTGCTCAACTCGGACAACGAGACTCGTTTGAGCCACCTATCATTTTCTATGACACTCCCACAGTGCACCAGAGTCAGAGTTGCCAGCGTTTCCCATGCCGCGTGCCGACTTGGACTACTCACTCTCTCAGGCCGAACGTTGCTTCGGCGTGCTAGTAACACAGCGTGTCCCACAAACGGTGACCTTTGCTTACCAATCCTGTTGTTTGCCATAGGGATCTGCATTGGGGTTCCCATTGAGGTTTAAGGAGGTGAACACCAACCAGGAATTCCATTTAAGGGGAGATGGTCACAGGAAAAGTCTTCCCCACCCCCTCCCAGCTGTCTCGTCAGCCATGCCAGGCGTGGACCGAGCTGTCCCACCTCAGCGCATTCAATGGCACGGAGGAGTTGCAGCAGCTGGGGCCCCATGGGTAGAGTTGGATATGTCTGAGTGCAATGATTTCTGGTGAGCTCACCTGGGGGTAAAACGAGCCCACCATGAAACGACCCTTTTCTTGAGGATCCGGTTCTTATTTCAGGTGTCTGGAAATATTGCAACACAAATGCAGATATGTCCAGGTCGCGAGTCGCCATTGGCAAGTTGCCCGGTTCCCTCAAAGCTTAGCGGTTCCCAGCCATAGGGTTCCATAGGTTGTGTTGTTTTTTAGTTGGTTGATTTGGGGTTCCATTGAATTAGGCGATTAAAGGTTAACAACTTTTAGCAGGGGATCTGAGGACAGCCCGGAAAGGATTATGGGAGCCGCAGATTTCTAAACCCCTCTGCTTGATGTTGGTTGGGGCCCTTTTAGTGGGGAATCGGCACTTCTAGAAGGAAAAACACTGCGGGGTCCATATTGCCAGCTTGGGCCAGTGAACAAAATCATCAAAATACCAGCTCATTTCGTGTCCCTCAAGGAATCCGAGTTGGGACTGTTTCAGGAAGCAGCATCCCAGTTGCTCAGTAGTCAACCTGAAAGGGGTCCCTGGACCAGGGTCGCAGGGCAAGTGGGGCCTGGAGGCTTGTTTCACAGGGGAGCGTAAACGTGCTTAAACATGTGATGAAGTACTGCCGGGTACCCACCTCTCTCGGGACTGTTGTATTTCCGTTCTTCCCAGGCTGGGTATCTCGGTGATTCTATTGTGATGGATGTTTGAGAGCTGGTATATAGCTGCAGCATGTCATTGATGATCCAAATGCAGCTTGGAAAAGTTGCCAAGGATTGCGCTTGCCTCTTCTCAGCTGCAAAACCGGACCGACCCTTGGTTGGTTGGTTGGTTGGTTGGTTGGTTGGTTGGTTGGTTGGTTGGTGTGTTGGTTGGGGTTATCCTTGGTTTACTAAAGCACACGCATGAACAACTCGCCTGTGGGCGGTGGTTCCAGTAGGGGCCAGTTCAAGATCGGTCATAAATACCCCAATTTTAAGCGTTTTCCCATGTGCTGACCGTTTTGCTTTTCCAGTTAGGGGTTTGGTCGCCCAAGTGTGGAACTCCAATTTGCAGAGGCACCTCTTAGTGAAACCCCGGCATAAAATCACCGGGTCACTTTCAAACGTGAAATTGGGCATGTGTTTACAGTTTTGTTGTTTTTTGGGGGTAAAATGGGCCTACAGAAGAGCCATGTTTGCAAGGATCTCATTCAAAGGAACCACTCTTTAAAACCCCTCAAAATGGCTTGTTGAGCGCTATAGGGGTAACTGGGCTCCACTTGCAATGTCGTGTGTGTGTGTGTGCGCGCGCGGGTGTGTGTGTGTGTGTGTTTTTGCAGGCAGACACATCAGCGGCCAGCAAGTTAACCCTGGATGTGTCAATATCCCCTGTTGGCGCACATCTCTCATTCTTTGGGTGTGCGCCCCCGGGCCCCTTCTTCAAACTAGCCAGGGTTGGATTCATGATTTGTACCAGCATGCTTCTTCGTTGCTGTCTTTGACAGTCGACATGGCCACATCAAATGCTCGGGACTCTGGCATCAGTATGTTTAGCGATGGTCACTTGCCGTCACTTTCGGCCAAGAAGCCCTCATCAGCACCAAGTACCTCATCGTAAACTCGATAGCTGTTTTGTGGGTGTGCGTCCACGTTTGAGTTCCAGCTTGACTGCTGCAATTCTTCTTAAGCACCAGCAATCGTGGCTGCTCACACCCTCATCCGGTCACTGCTAGCCTTCCCTTCGAACCCACGACAATCCTATGGCCATTCGTTGGGCTGTTATCATCAATCATCAACCTATGGCCAGCTTATGACTAGTCATTGACTACGAGTTGGGTGAACGTAGCGGCAGAATTAATTGCCCCTGTACTTCCCATGCAGGGGATAGGCCAGGCCACGCCCATTGCCCTTAGGTTGACCTGGAAGCAGGACAGCGATGGGAAGAGCGTGTCTCAAAACGGCCCCAGTTGTTTCGTGTCAGCCTTTCTCCCGCTGGGTTCCCGCAACGTTCCAACCCAAAAAGGGTTCCTTTTGGCTTCCAAGGACTTTCAGGCTGGCGTCTACAGAGAATCAACAAATACACACATTTAGGATGTTCTAGGGGTCCTATGTGAATATATTGAGCAGACCCATCGAGCTGGTGTTCTGGCCATGAACCCTGGGTCCAACTCTGAGGCTCGTCAGGAATGACCTCAGGTTTCCTTCTAACCTGCAGCAAGTTTTGTTTTTTGTTCAAAGAAAACAAATGCTGGGGGATCTATAGCACCCACGTTTGGGTGTAGTTATTGTTTTGAGGGCACCCTTTTTGGGATGTGTTTTGCCCAGCCAAAAAAAAACAAAAAGCAGGGAAGCCACCATATGTTGCGCCTATATCCCACTAACAAAGTGACTTTGTGCAAGGGATCAACAAACCGCTGAGCCAATGTGTACCATAATCGAAAGACGTGCGGCTACCAAAGGATGGAAACGCACCAAATGAGCGGTTTCCAGTTGTCATGTCTAAATCGGAAGGCCCCAACCGCTGTTTGGGGGGAACATACAACTAGACTCCTGGCCGCGCAGACCCTGCCCCACCCACATGAATCTTGCTTCTGCAGGACCCGAAAGGGCCACTCGAGTGCCCTGGATGCAGCGGCCGTCAACGCAACGGCTGGCTGGCCGTCTATTATATCCAGAAAAAGGGTCCCCAACCAAAAAAATCACACCCGTGTGTGCCATAGTCGAACAGCCCCTTTCGGCGTTGGTACGGATGGTCATGACCCTGGGGACATGAAACCATAAGGTAGATATGAGCTTCAGGGACCATGGCGATAACCCACAGGTTCGCTGACCACACATGTTGATTGGTGTTTTTCCATACAACTTACAGCCATGTGCCCGCCATGCCGGGCTTGCCTAAGGACTGCGGTGACCACCTTTGGCTCCAGCCTAGGCTGGGGCTTCGGTAGATGGGCTCGGTGGAGAACCCAAAAGCTGCGGTGGTGATCTTCGCAACTCGGGCTCTGAGTTGGTGGAGTGGATGGTCGCTTTTGGGCGGTTGGACCATATTAGTGCCTAAGCACAAGTTTGGGTAGTTCCTTCTTTGGGGGCAGTCCACTTGATCGGAAGTGAGGCACAGAGGCACCAAGGACCCTGTGCACGGCTTTGGGAGGATTCATGGAGGGAATCCGAAAAAGGGAAGCAGCAGCAAAAGGGTCGGTTTCCGTCAGGCCTGCTTTTCTTGCTGGTCTTTGGTGTGACGCTAAAGGCTCCTGAGACCTTATGGAAACAAACAGCCCTTGCATGACTCAGCCCACCAAGCACGGACTAAATGAGAGGCCTTTGGTCACCAAAGGAGTTACTCAGGGATGAGGGATTCGGGATTCCTTCGATAAACATTCCGAATGGCCCCCACCTGTCGGCAAAAGCCACGACACCAAATTTTCTTCCCAAGGCACTTGGGTCGGTCCGATCGCCAGGAACTCGCTCTTTTCCCTCGTGCGGATCGCCCGGAGCCGAGGCTGGCATGAGGTCGTTCGGTTCGGTTTGTCTTGCTGGTGCGATAGGCAGGGAATGAGTTGGAATGACCCCTACCAAACCATCCAACTGGTGGTTTCCTTCAAGGGAATCCCCAGGATTGTTCCCTCGTTTCCCACAGAGCAAGAAAAAAGTTGTCTCAAAGTGGAGTTGGCCTGAAGCTTTGGTGTTCACAGTGTCCATGCAGAGAGAAGCACTTGGGATGAAGTAGACGTGTTTTGTCGGGGAATGGTTTAAAGGGCAACACACCAGCGATTTTTCTGGGCTTAGAGACAGGGCCAAGAGGGTCGCCCATTTGGGGAGACCTGTGAAGTTGATGTTCGAGAGTCCCGCAAAGTCGAGGACGCGCCATCAACCATCAGTGTACAGCGTTGGAATGGATTTCATGTGCCTTGGTGGTCCCCAGCCATCCCCTTAGTTTTTTGGGGGGTTTTCAGGGTGTAGTGGTAGTTCCACTCAAAACACAACAAGTTAAACATGTAGCAGGAGATCTGAGGACAGCCCAGGTGCGTTGTTTTTTTTTTTGATT